GTTCAAAGCCAGTGTCAGCAATTTAGTGAGGCCCTGAGCAACTTAGGGAGACCCTGTCTCAAACTAAACAATAAAAAGAGCTGAGGATGTAGCTCAGTGGTTAAATGTCCCAGTACCAACAATCAAAAAAGAAGACATCTAACACTAGGAAAATACCAATTAAAACCACCATACATCTACTAGAATAATCAAGTTAAAAAAAGAACAATTACCAGGTACAGTGGTGCATGCCTGTAATCCCACACCTGGGAGGCTGAGGTAGAAGGATTGCAAGTACAAAGCCAGCCTCAGCAACTTAGCAAGGCTTTAAGTAACTCAGTGAGACCCTTTCTCTAAATAAAATATTTTAAAAAGGGCTGGGGATGTGACTCAGTGGTTCAGTGACCCTAGATTCAATGTCCAGTACCAAAAAAAGGGACAATTAATAAATTCAGATTGAGGAGGCAGAGCAATTATAACTTACAGGTTACTAGTAGAAATGAAAATGATGTAATCTCTTTAGAAAACTGCTTAGCAGTTTCTTATACAGTTAACAATTCTATTCTACATTGTCATCCAAAGGAAAAGAAAACAAGACTATACAGTGTCTTATATGTGAATGTTTATAGCAGCTTTATTCATAATCACCCCTATCTGAAATAATCCAAATGACCATCAGCTGGTAGATGGATAAAAGAATTATGTACATCTATACAACAGAATATTCCTCACCTTAGAAAGGAACAAATTACAGATACATGCAACAACTTTGAGAGACTCAAAAATATTATGTTAACCCATTCAGTCACATCATCCTAGATGTGGACTTATATTGAGCAACAAATATATCACTTATGGTAATTTTTTCACCTGTGCTAATTTATTGCAATATCTATAGAACTGGAAACTTGGAACTTAACAGGTTAAGAGAAAGACACAAGACACAAAAGTCTACATACTGCCTGATTCCATTTATGTAACATTCTGTAAAAAGCAAAATTATATAAACAGAAATCAGATCACTGGTTACTAGGGGTTAGGCTTCATGAAGGGTGGGAGCTGAATACAAAAGGCCACAAAATAATAAACTTGTTCAAAGAGAAATAAACAACATAATTCCACGCAAAACAGCTACAAAAATACCTAAGAATAAAATTAACCAAGGAATTGAAATGTCTCCTCAATGCAAATGTAAATACACCGTTGAAAAAAATTGAAGGGAACACACACACACACACACAAATGGCAAGATATCCCCCATTCATAGATTGGAAGAATCAATATTATTAAAATGTCTCTACTACCCAAGGTACTCTATAGATTCAAGGCAATTTTCATGAAGTATCAATGTTATTCTTTACATAAATAGAAAATAAAATCATGAAATTTATATTTAAAAAGCCCACAAAAATTGTTCAGGTGATAGAAATGTCATATGTGTTAATTCTGGTAGAGGTGGTTACATGGTATATCTTCATCAAGACTCATTTAAGACTCATGTACATTTAAAGTTAGTTTTACTATATAAAAATTACACTTCAATAAACCTAGATTTAAAAACAATTAACAGGGTGAAGAACAACTAAGAATATTTCTGATTCCTACTTAGATATAAATGATAGACAATGATATGCCAAGACTCTAAAAGAAGGAAAATGCCAGTTACTACATAACACTGTCTGGATTTGTCCCCTCACCTCCCTTTACTTTTCTTTTGCTCATTAGTTATAGAGCATACAGGTTTCCTTGCTGTCTCTAATTCAAGAAGATCATGGCAGTCTCAGGCTCTTTGAAATCTGTTTCTAAGATCTCCGCAAGATTAATTAATTAATTAATTAATTATTCACTCCCCATTTCCAAAGTCCCCCACTGTGACTTCCCTAACTACCCTCTTAAAGTAACTACCCCAATCCACATCACTATCACATTAATCTATATATTTTTTTCTCCATAGCTCTTATCACTATTTGAAATTCGTATGTGTTTACATACTGTCCTTTGTATCTCTTCATTAGAAGGTAGGGCTTTTGAATGTCTTCTTAATCTTTAAAGACTTGTTGAACAGATGTATTCCTTGTTAAACTATAGTAGTTTAGATCCTTCAAACATAGGCAAGTAAGCATTTTTATGCATCATATGATATGATGTTTATATGCCCCCTCAAATGATATGGATTTTATAGCCATTACTCATTTACAGTCTACTGAAAAGAACACTGGAATAAGAATCAAGTTCTAGATTCTAACCTTGATCCTGCTACTAACTATAAGACACTACACTTGGGGGCCAGTGATTCCATCTCAAGAAAAAAAATGCACAATTACAAAAACATATATACACAGGGATACTCATCAAACAGTGTAATTACAGTAGCAAAAACTGAGAGAAAAACAATTTTACTCAATGGGGCTCTGGCTAAATTGACTATATCCATCAAAGTCATGCTATGAATTCATTTTAAAAATGATGACTGTATACTTGTCCCCACTTATCTAAGGTTTCACTTTCCAAGGTTTCAATTACCTTTGGTCAATCATGGTGTGAAAATAGCAAATGGAAAATTCCAAAAACAAACTGTTTTAATTAATTAATTTATTAGTGCTGGGGATCAAATCCAGGCCTTATGCTTGCTAGGCAAGTGCTCTGTCACCAAGCTATATCTCTAATCCCTAACTAAGTAATTTATAAATTTAATTTATAAGTTTTAAACTGTGTGGCATGTGAATATCTATGGAAAGAGAGTTCCAGGCAAATGCAGTGGCCCAGAGGCAGGAATGTGCTTGCCATTTCCTGGGAAAGAAAGAAAGCCAGTGAAGTTGGAGAAGAGTAAGCATGGAAAGAAATGGTGGGTATAATATAATATGATAGGTATCCAAAGACTAGATTTTGTAGGGCCTTATATAGGCTATGGTGGGGACATTAGATTTTATTCTAAATGTAACAGAAAACTTTGGAGAATTTTGAATAGGGGAATGGTAGGTTCAACCTTACATCTTAAGAGAGTGTGGTAAACACAAGGACAAAAGTAGAAGAGAGGAAATTAGTTGGGAGGCTAGATCACAAAGTCCAGGTGCCAAGGAATAATGACATGAACTAGGATCATAGCAGTGGGAATGGTGAAAATTAGTCCTATGTGAGACTTGACTTGTTGTAAAATTGAAGTAAAACAAAAGGCTGTTACAGCAGTTTCAATGGAATATTGAGAGGAAAAGACAACTCTTTAGATTTCTGCCTTTGCAAATGAGTTAAATGCCACTGGGTAAAGATGTCTAATACCTTTGGATACAGGAGTCTGATGGGCACAGTGTTCCACAGCCTGCATGTCATCACTTGGATGTTATGGCCTGGATTATATCTGGCTGAGAAGCAGCTTGAGAACTGAGTCCTAGGGCAAATGTGCCAAGTGCTACTGACAGCTGGGAGTGAAATGAGGACTGCAAATGACCACTGGAAGTCACTGGTATAGGATACATAGGTGTCAGGAGTGGAGAAAAAAGCCTGATTGGGGCAGGCTCAAAAGTGGATAAAATTTCTTTACCAAAATACTTGATGTTGGCTGGGGGATTAGGGTGTGTGGTTATTGAGATGGGGAGGAACCTACAGAGCAAAGGTAATTAAAAGACACATTAGCTAATTGAAACACAAAGAACTTCTTTGGAACCTGAGATAACTGAAATGCAAATACAAATGTGATAGTTGATAATAAAGAAGAATTATTCATTTATTTTAAAATAAGAATGATTCTATGGTTATATGAAAAAATGTCCTAACCTTTTAGAAAATCAGGCTGAAACAGAAATGAAATGAGGTCGATGAGCAGATAACTGAAGTTGGGTGATGGGTATTCTTTACTCTCTACTTCTGCTTACACTTGGAATTCTTCATAAAAAGCTTTTAAAAAACAAAACCAAAGAATCTTATTTCTAAAGAGATATAGTTGAGCACTTTTATCAGAATTAACAATTTTATTGTTTATGTGTAACATGCTTTGACTTCCACAAATTCAGAAATTTGTGACATACTTCTCATGAAAATAAGCCCCCAAAGAAACATTTACATCAGTTTTTTTTTTTCACTTGATAATTTGTGGGCTGGAAATATAAAAGAGATCCCTGAATTCCTAAATGAAAATAAAAGTTAATGGATAGTTAAGAAATGGAGATTCAGGGCTGGGGCTGTAGCTTTGTGGTACAGAGCTTGCCTAGCACGTGTGAGGCACTGGGTTCGATCCTCAACACCACATAAAAACAACTTAAAAAAAAAAGGCATTGTGTCCATCTACCACTAAAAATAATAGTAATAAAATAGAAATGGAGATTTAGAAAATATTACTGGTTCCCAATCAGGTTCACATATACTTCCAGTATTTATCTACCTATAGATCGGTCAGATAAATATATCTATGAGTATATATCTCACACACAGTCCAATTTCATTGTTTAAACATTATTTTTGACAGTGGGTTAGCGTTAAAATTTTTTTTTTAAAATACCTGTCTTTATATTTTCTATGTAAATCAAACGAATGTCTTAATTTTAAGTGCTAAATTTCAAAGGCGGAAAAAAAAGGAAATACTACTTTTGCTGACGAAAGCACAAAGAAATACTCCCCACACCTGGCAGGTTTCTACCTTGCCAAACACAGAGCACTGCTGGGCGACGCAAAGCGGAGATGGCGGGGGCAGAGGGTAATGCGCAGACGCCGTAGCAAGGCAATGTCTGGGGCGGGACTAGGGACTCCATTAAAGGACAGTCTTTGCAGCCAATCAAAGGACAGCATCAGCGCCTTCTTCCTGAGAAGGAGACCGGAAGTCGGATTTCTGCTGGGGTGGCGGAGGCGGCTGCTTGAGTAAACCAAGAGCTGAGGTGAGTGGGCGGCAAGGCGTGGGCCTTCGGTCTTCTTGCAGTTTTCCTTCCGGACCCCGCCGCTTCTTCTAGGCCGGGCTGGGTGCCGGCAGACCTGGCTAACTTCGGCCTCGGAGGCGCTGCCTCGCTTTCCTCACGCGTTGCGAAAGCATGTCCTCCCCGCAGCTCTGAGGCTCTGGGTGGGCAGCCCGGCGAAGGTGCTCTCGGCCCCCGGGCCGACGAGCCCGAATCCAGGCGGGGAGCCTCGGGCTCGGATCCCCAGCCACTGGTTCTCAGCCGTGTGGCCTTGGCGAGTCACTTGTCCTCTTTTACGGTCTGTACAGTGAGAATGACCATGGCCATCCCTCCTTCTGGGAGCAGTTGTGAAACGAGCCGAGTTAATGGGGGTTTCCGCGGAGGGGTAGAGCCCCAAACTGACCCTCAGATTCATCCCGCGAGGTTTTAAAATGGACCTGCAGGGCTGGGCTTTGGTGGTGCACCCGGTAATCCCAGCAACTCGGGAGGCGGAGGCGGGAGGGGAGCAAGTTCGAGGCCAGGTTGGTCAATTTAGGGGAGACCTGGTCTCAAAGTAACTGGGGATGTGGCCCAGTGCTGGAGCATCCCTGGCCTGGGGTCACGCCCCATTGCAAACAACAACAAAATGACATACCGAGGGGTCAATCAAATCTCCAAGTTAATCAAATCTCCAAGGGTGGGATCCTGGAGTACTTTTCTTTTTTTGATGAAGACTCCCCCAGCAAGCACTAGGTTTGAGTCTGAGAACCGACTAGTTGGTGCTGGTTTTACTAAAATAACATCTCCATGGGTTTTGAACAGTTGACTCTAAAGAGGTGATAGAGAAAAGTTATTTATTTATTTTTTAAAGTTTTTTGTACTGGGGACAGGACCCAAAAGCACTTAACCACAGGACCATTTCCTCGCCCCCACCTTTTTTGAATTATGAGACTCAGTTTCGTTAAATTGCTTAGGGCCTGGGCTGAGAGTCACTAGGATTATAGGCTTGAGGCATCACCCTAGGGGTGGGGGGTGGAATTTAATTTCAGTAATATGTGAAGTACTTGTATGGTTTAGACAGTCCCATGCCCTTTTTCCCTCCCCTGCCTCCCCCACAAGAGTTTGTACTTTGGAGCTGAAAGGACCTGGGATTAAGAATTCTCATTGTACCATTTACTGGCCTTTTGATCTGATGTAAACACTTCCCTACATTAAGACTTGGGATCCTCATCTCTAAAATGAACTTGGTAATAGTTTTTAATTGGAAGAATTGTTGTAAAGATTACATTAATGATGGTACTCGTCTTATATTTGGCCCTTCCAATGATAACTGCAATGATGCACATTTGTAAGGAAGCACAGAACTCCCAACCTAAAAAGGTTTGAGTGGTAAAACTTGGGCTGTCTAAATTGTTTGTTTTTTGTAGTTGTAGATGGATAGAATGCTTTTATTTTATTTGTTAAATTTTTTTTTTTTTTAATGTGGTGCTGAGGATCAAACCCAGTGCCTCACACATGTTAGGCAGCACTTTTCCACTGAGCTGCAACCCCAGCCCTAAAATTTTAAGAACCAGTTCAGTAATTGTGTGGCTTTAGTTATTGTACTCTGGTTATAAGAGAACATTCTTGTTTTAGTGTTTGGGTATAAAAAGATGAGAAACCAGTAAAGCAAGTGAGTGGAAGATGTAAAGAATGCAGTGGCCCTGGCCTATAATCCCAGATATTCAGGGGTCTGAGACGGTAGAATTGCAAGTTTGGGCCAGCCTCAACAATTTAGTGAGGCACTTAGTAACTTAGCAAGACCTGTCTCAAAATAAAAAAAATAACCCCTGTGAATCAGTGGTTAAGTGCTCCTGGGTTCAATCCCTGGTACCAAAAAAAAAAAAAAAAGGGTTGTAGCTTAGTGTGTACAGTGCTTGCCTATCTTGGAAAGGCCATGAGTTGGATTTCTACACCACCCCCCCCCCCCCCGCAAGACATTTAGAATACAGCTTTTCTGTAAATCTGTAAGTTGGAAAAGTCAGTTATAACTGTTTGCAAGTAAACTGTATTATGAACAGTTGAAATGATACATGTTTTCATAAACAACCTTCTATCCATGTTTTCTTAATGGTTATGTAGACATTTTTATTCAGCCATCATATCAATGAAGGAATAGATTATTTCCAATTTTTCTACTCGATTCAGACAATACTGCATTAAACGTCCTTGTGTACGTCTTTGTGTGCTTGTAGCAGGATTTTTATGGGATTAATTTCTAAAAATGGAATTATTGATTCAAAGAATATCAGCATTTAAAATTTTGGTACTGCCAGATTAAATGTGTGAATCCTTTTTCATTAGTTGTCTAGGTGAATTTCCCCATAGTTTCTTGGGTGGTACTGGCATAAGAACCTAAAGGAATTATGCAGTGATCATAATTGATGTGGCTTTTACTGTGAGGCTTGAAATAGGCCTTGCTGCTATGAATTGGAATGACTACCCTGAAAAACTAAGAGAAGACTGGGACCCATTACTGAAATCCAGAGCCTACTACATAGGAGAAATTCTAAGATCTGTTGTTTTTTTTTTTGTTGTTGTTTTTTTTTTTTTTTTGGTACTAGTTATTGACCCCAGAGTTGCTTTATGACTGAGTCAGATCTCCAGCTCTTTTTATTTTTTGAGACAGGGTCTCACTAAGTTGCTTAGGACCTGGTTAAGTTACTGAAGCTGGTCTTGAACTTGGAATCCTCCTGTCTCAGCATCCCATGTCACTGGGATTACAGGCATGTGCCAGGGGGAATATTCTAATATCTACGGAATAATAGAATGTTTGAAATCTTGATAGCTGTGAGAAGAGTTTTGATAGAGATTAAAGTTTGGGTAGAGAAGGAAAGACAGAGGCAACTGAGTGGCCAGGGACATAGGTGGAAAACATGAATGTTGAGGTCAGAGAAGCTGAGAAAAGAGGGGAAGTATGTACTGGTAAAGAAATGCATTGTCTATTGGTATAGTCATATTGAGTTGGTAACTCATATTGTTCATGACTATTGCACCCTTGATTCTGGCAATATTCTCTGCTCCACTCTGGTTTGGTGGAAACCTAGAGCTGCTTCACAGTTACCGTCAGTTTCCCACAAATTCCAAGAACAGCACTGCTACTAGTATGTTACTTGCCCTACTTAATCTTAGAGGATGCTTTATCTTGAATTTGATAAGATTAGTCTAAAAGAGCACTTGGGAATCTTATTAGATGATATACCTACCCTTAAAGTGGAATGAGTAAGTTATTAAGGTTATTGTGACCTAAAAAGTTACTTAGCTTGAGTTTGATGTTGAAATTTAAGTAAGAAAGTTGATGTGGCCATATAAAATTGTGGGGTACAGTAGGATATAAAATTGGGTTATCATTTACTCCAAGAACCTTGGATAACATCAAGAGTCTGAAATTTAGCAATGTTAATTTGTCAAACTGTTTATTAGTATTGCTTTTGAAATCGAATCTATAATAGAAAACAAAAGTGATTGTGATAACAACGGGAGACAGCATGTGTACTTTGGCTATGGAAAAAGAGTAGAGAAATGGAGGGTAACTAATGAGGGGTTTGGAATCCAGATTTTCTTTGTAGATAAAAAGATGCTACAATATTTTTTAATGCTGATGGAAGTATTAAGGAAAGAAAGAGCATGTGTGCATGGTTGATGATACAATGCTTAATTAGGAAAAAACAGTATCCTTTGCTTATTGTAAATGTTAATAAACTAAGGACACACCAAAGTCAGAAGAAGGAAGAAAATATTCTGCCTCCACCCTATAATTCCAGCAGCTTGGGAAGCTGAGACAGGAAGATCGGGGGTTCAAAGCCAGCCTCAACAACTTAGAGAGGCCCTAAGTAACTCACTGAGACCTGGATCTCTAAATAAAATATAAAAAATGGGCTGGGGATGTGACTCAGTGGTTAAGTGCCCCCTGTGTTCAATCCCTGGTACCAAAAATATTATTCTACATTTACTAATGTATTGACAGGTTTGATTTGTAGCTCTGTTCTAAATCTTTGGTCTGTTTCTGTAGGTTCTTGATCTTTCACAATGGGTGAACCACAACAAGTGAGTGCACTTCCACCACCCCCGATGCAGTACATCAAGGAATATACAGATGAAAATATTCAGGAGGGCTTAGCTCCCAAGCCACCTCCTCCAATTAAAGACAGTTATATGATGTTTGGCAACCAGTTCCAGTGTGATGACCTTATCATCCGCCCTTTGGAAAGTCAGGGCATTGAACGCCTTCATCCTATGCAGTTTGATCACAAGAAGGAACTGAGAAAACTCAATATGTCTATCCTTATTAATTTCTTGGACCTTTTAGATATCTTGATAAGGAGCCCTGGGAGTATAAAACGGGAAGAGAAGCTAGAAGATCTTAAACTGCTATTTGTACATGTGCATCATCTTATAAATGAATATCGACCCCACCAAGCAAGAGAGACCTTGAGAGTCATGATGGAGGTCCAGAAACGTCAACGGCTTGAAACAGCTGAGAGGTTTCAGAAGCACCTGGAACGAGTAATTGAGATGATTCAAAATTGTTTGGCTTCCTTGCCTGATGATTTACCTCATTCTGAAGCAGGAATGAGAGTAAAAACTGAGCCAATGGATGCTGATGATAGCAATAATTGTACTGGACAGAATGAACAACAGAGAGAAAATTCAGTTCATAGAAGGGACCAGATTATAGAGAAAGATGCTGCTTTGTGTGTTCTAATTGACGAAATGAATGAAAGACCATGAAGGGTATTTTTCTTCTTTTTTTATTTTGTTAAATAGCATCATATATTCCTCTCTTTTGGACAGTCTTAAAACAGGTATAACTAAAATATAAAGGAATTTGTTTTTCTTGACTCCAGTTTTTCAATGATGAGATGCCATAGGCAGAATTTCACTGTGTAACAAGCGTAGGTGAATGAGTACACCTGTATTAAAAATAATCACCTTAAAATGCAAAGTGTTTGCTGTTGTGTGGGATATTCTGATTTTTGGAGTTGCAGTAAAATTTTGAAGATATTCTTAATACTAGCAAGCTGTCATCCTTGAAAAACAATTTTATCATATGCTTGAATAATGAAAGTACAAAGTGTTTAGACTTAATCTCCAAAAAGCATGTTGAGAAAGGAACCCAGTAGAATTAAAAAACAGAACTTTTTCTCATACCTTTTCCTGTAGACTCACTATCTCAGCTTCTTCTCCCTAACCTGCATGGAATGTTGAGGTGGGGATTTTATAAGTTGTGTTATTTTTCCAATTATTTAATCAGTAAGTCCTTTCTTTTCTTTTCTATTTTTTTGGTACTGGGGATTGAACCCAGGGACTCTTAACCATTGAGCCACATCCCCAGCCCTTTTTATGTTTTATTTTGAGACAGAGTCTTGCTAAATTGCTGAGGCTGGCATTGAACTTAAAATCCTCCTGCCTTCGGCCTCCTGAGCTTCTGGAATTACAGGCATGTGCCATTGTGGCCAGCCCTTTCTTATTTTAGTTGCATGCATTCATTTTAGTAATTAATATGTCTATGTAGTTAAGTACCCATTTCCTTTAAATCTGAGCTCAGGCTTGCTTAAGGCTGGAAGCCTGCAATGGAAAAAGGGTTTGCTGGCAGAGACTGCTAGATATCTGTCAAAAATGTTTACTTATTTTTGAGATTACTTAGATATGGCTGCCCAGCAAGGGACCACATTTACCCATTCAGGGCCATGCATCTATGTGGAGACTATGTAATTAAGTTCTGGACAGTAGGAATCCAGGTGAGTCCTGTTAAAATTTCTTGTGTGGTCCTCCTTTTCCTACCATCTGCTATTTAGATGGGCATACTCAAGATAACTAGACTGGAAGCCATTTGAAGATGGCAAAGATTGTCAGTTTGGACTTTGTATGATTGTGAGATCTAGTTTTTCCTTTCATTAACTCCCACATCTTTCCCACCTAATTCAATTTTTTTGTGAGCAAGAAATAAATTTGTTTTAAGATTTTATTTCTGTATTTTTTTCTCCTTTCACCCTACCCTTCTTCCACCAAGGTGGAGAGGCAGCCTGATATCTGAGGATGCCTGCCTGGCATTTTTGTAATATAGGCCAATACCTCTCAAAATGTGGTCCTGGACCTACAGATTCACCTCATCAAGAACTTTTTAGAGATGAAAATTCTTAGCCCTGTAACGAGTCCACTTCATGCTTTGGCTAACCCTTGCTACTCTGCCACTGCGATTTATTTTTAAACTGATACTTTCCCCCACTCCTCTCCCTCTCCCCTTTGCTAACCATAGGAGAAAGCAAGATAACTTTCTTCTGTCCTAGGCTGAAGTTGTGTGTTCTGCTCATGACCATAAGAATTAAAGATTCCAGATTTCAGGGCTGGCATCAGTGGGACTGAGAAATGGCTCTCAAGTCTGCAATTATGTTATGACCTGAGTGTAGCCTTTGTATCCCCTCATTAAAAGCCCACCATTTCCCCTGATAGAATCAAAGCCTGTGGGAAGGGAATTTCCTGTTTCTCCTTTGCTAGCAAAGCAATAAAACTACTTCTTCCCTTTTCTTAAAATCTTGTCCTTGTTACTTACTGTATGGGCATTGGGGAAAAGAACTGAGCTTTCTAAGTATCATCCCCACTCCAGATCTTCTGAACCAGAAACTCTAGGGGTAGCGTCCTGTACTCTGTTTTTTAACAAGCCTTCCATGTGATTCTGATGCACAAGATAGAAAGATAATGCAATTTTCCTAATGTCCACTTTTGATTCTTCCTTTAGTGAGTTTCACGTAGCAGAGGATTTGCTACACCAAGATTTCATTGGCCTTGGAGCTGGAAAAGTTCAGTTTAAAATGTACAGATGGGCTGGGGCTGTAGCTCAGTGGGAAAGTGCTTGCCTCGTATATGTGAGGCGCTGGGTTCGATCCTCAGCACCCCATAAAAATAAATATACTGTGTGTTCATCTGTAACTAAATAAATTTAAAAAAAATGTACAGGCAATTGTCTGAGAAATATACTACCTTTGCCTTCATAAACCAGCTTTGTAGGATTTTCAAGTAGACACTTCTTTATTAGGTAGCTACTTTCTGGTATGTATTTGATACAGACCTTTGGGCACCAGAGATTGCAGATAACACAATTTAGGTCTCTTAAACTTTAATCAAAGTGAGGCATATCCTCTGATCCCCTAGTTAGGAAGCAAGATGAAAATTTTCTAGCAATTGAACAACTCCCCAAAGAAAATTTTGTCTTAATAACCTTGGGGGGGAGGGTCTTGCACTGAGGTACAAAACCAGTTTTTGGCTACTTCTGAAATTCTTGTATATAAAATGCAGGGAATCATCGTTATGAATTACAACAGCTAGTTGAATATGTGCATGGGGAGGGGATTGAGGAGTTAAAATATCATGGGTAATCTTTAGAACTCTGGAGGATCTTATTTTGCAATACACAGAACCTGACATTAACTCTTAGACCCTGTTTCAAAAGGGGTTTGGGGATGTAGCTCAGTGGTGCAGTGCTTGCATAACAAGTGAGAGATCCTAGGTTTAATTCCCAGCATCTCAAAAAGTAAATAAAATAAAAAGGGACAGGATGCAGCCCAGTAGTAGAATGCTTTCCTAGCGTGGGCAAAACCCTGGATTCCAGCCACCAAAAAGAAACCCCACATGTTGAACTATTCTTTCTGTACTTCTGTGTCTGTCACTTGGATTTGCCTGTCTTTTTAAAGAGGTTGATTGAATAGAGGCTAGTTAACTAGGCATGAAGAATTAGGGGATTGCATATCTGATTTTAGCTAAGTCAATGTGTTGAGACCCAAATCCTGTAAGGATTTAACAGTCCCCACTAATGTCCACGTATGGAAGAAGCAGTCTGTTTCTCAGATAAAGGAAGGTATAATACTGATGATACTGGTACATATTCACTACAAAGTAAGCACATGTAAACTTTGATGGCATGTTATGATTTAGATATTAGGTGTCCCCACAAAGGTCATGTGTGACACATTGCAAGAGGATTTAGAGGTGAAATGATTAGGATATGAGATCCTGAACCTCATCAGTGTGTTAATCCCCTGATAGGGATTAACTGGTAACTGTAGGTGAGTAGGGTGTGGCCAAAGGAGATGGGACCTTGGGGGTGTGCTTTTGAGTGGAGCTCTCTTGATGCCATGTCCCCAGTTGCTTTCCCAGCTGCACACTTACACCATGATGTTCTGCTTCATCCCAGGCCCCAAGGAATGGAGCCAGCTATCTGTGGACAGACCTCTGAAACTGTGAGCCCCCAAATAAACTTTTCTTTCTTAAAATTGTTCTTGTCAGGTTTTTTAGTCACAGAAGCAAAAAACACTGACTAAAACATAGCAAAAATAAACAAATTGTACAAATATCTGTCGTGAGAGTGGTTTCCCCCTGATTATTCATTCATTCCCTGTATTCATTTGATGAATACTTATTATTGTCCTGTATATGCCTAATACTAGTATTGGATGAGTGGGGAAGGGAAAGAAAAATGAAAGAAAGATAATAAAACAAATGAGTTAAGTTTTGAAGATGATTAGTTTGCTGTCCCACCAAAAATGTATGAGTAGACCTTTTTCCCCACATCCTTGCCAGTATACTACAGTGAATCTCGCTGTCATGCCATCATGTATATCCATAAGACACTAATTAAAAAAACAACTATAAATAGCAGAAAAATCTGTAGAGGGATGAGATCATAGGGGAGGGAGGAGGGGAAAGAAAGGAAAGAGGAAGTACTGGGGACTGAATTAGAATAAATTATATTCTATGCTTTTATAATTATGCCAGTGAATCCTAATATTATATATAACTAAAAAGAACCAATAAGAAATATTGAATGGAAGTTTCAGGAATTAAAAAAGAAAGGCCATTTTGGCTGCAATATTGTAAGGGAAAAGGTGGAGCTAGAGAAACAAGTGAGGCAGTTGGAGGGCAGAGGCACAGCATGTAGAAAGCCAAGGGAGAGTATATATTCTAAATCTGACGAAAAATCAATTGCAAACATTCATGTAGCACATTGATAACACTATTCTAATCATTTACATACTGAGTTTTTATTATCCCCGAGTCAACACAATGAAATAACTATTATTTTTACACTCATTTTACAGATGAGGAAGTGGAGGCTCAGAAAGGTTGTGTAATTTATCCAAAGTCACAGAAACAGAAAGAAGGCATTGCCGTTTCAAAGCCTAGGTAGTCACCCTCCATTTTAATTTACCTCTCTTGTTTCATCACACTGCTACTAAATCATAGGTAAGTAAGTAGAGAAACCAAGAGTGGAATCCAATATGTTAACCGTAACGATCAAATTTGTAAATATGACATGATACCAAACTGAAAGAGAAACATTTTAAGTGGAATTTATGAGTTCCCTTCTTGTATATTAAAGAATTCATGTCTTATTCTCAGACTTCTATATCTTAAAGATATGCTGTCCTTATAGTTCTAATCTTCCTAATCTAAGTCAGGAATCAGTCAACTATTTTGGTAACAGTCCAGTTAGTAAATATGTTATGCCCTGTGGATTGTTCTAAGAATCAAATGAGAATGGCTACAAAGCACTTAACATAGTTCCTGGAACAGTACTTGGAAAGCTATTGAAGATCAGTTAATAACTTCCTTACTAGTGCTTCTTAAAGTTTTATTTTTAATTGGCAAATAATCGTACATATTTATGGGGTGTATTGTGATGTTTTGATACAAGTATACTGTATTTTCACTGGTCTTTTGCTTACCATTGACATTTTGGTTTCAAATTGCAATGTGATGAGGTTACCAGTGAGTGGCACTCTTCTGTCAGGTTTAAGAAGCTGTAGCCAGTTTTCTAGGAGACTAAAATGAAGCCCAGGGGCACTGCTTATGACACCCTAATATTCGATACCCTAACCCTTAGTAGTTAATGTCAGAATTAATTTAAATCTTTAGATGCCTAGTTGGTAGCCATGAAATCATAGTGGAAAACACCACAGAATGCTAGAATTTGGGCTTCCTGTTTTTCAGCTATGTAGCTTTGATTTGGCATACTAACCTCCATGGAAACTGAGTTTCCTTAACTGGTAATTATGATACTCATAGTGTAATGCTAAGAATGAAAGAGAAGTTCCACCTGATTCCTTCTAAAACTCATTTGCCCCCAAGCACATAACATAGTCAGATCTCAGACCTGCTAATCATCTGTAAAGAAGTCTGATTTTGAAAGGACTGTGAGGATACCCAAGAGACTTAAGTGGAGCTCTGAGTCACTGCTACTGACAAGGGAGAGCGATGAAGGAAAAAAGAGGAAGGCAAAAATAATAGCAGAAATGTAAAAGAAGCATTACTATAAATAGAAGAAACAGTTTAAAAAAGAAGAAAATATTATAGATAACTTTATCCCAATACATTTGGAAACTTAAAGAAAGTGGACTAGTTCTTAGAAAAATTATCAGTACTAATTTAAGAATAGATAACCTGAATAGTTTTCCTAATGATTAAAACAAGGAATCAGGCTGGGCCTCATACTTGTAATCCTAGTGGCTCAGGAGGCTGAGGCTGGAGGATTGTGAGTTCAAAGCCAGTCTCAGCAACTTACTGAGGCCCTAAGCAATCCAATGAGACCAGAAAAGGACTGGGGATGTGGCTCAGTAGTTAAGTGCCCCTGGGTTCAATCCCCAGTACCAAAAACAAAACAAATCAGTAGTCATTTTCTCACAAAGAGAAATTCATGTTCAAATAGCTTTACTGGCAAGTCTGTCAAATATTGCATACACACGCACACATACCACACACAAAATAAAAATTGTTCTAATCTTATACAGATTCAGCACAAAAAACTAGGAAGTATTTCTCAACTGTCTTTATTAGGCTAATAGTATAAACAAAATATTAGCAAACTGAACCTAGTCATATGTAAATATAAAATAAAAAGATAACATTTTATGGTCAATGTTTTTATCTCAAGAATTACAAAGGAGTAGTTAATGTAATCTACTAAAATAATAA